GGATGTTGGCACAAGTGTGCTCATGTTAGTTTGTGACCTACCCCCCAGGAGAATTTGAACTTTAAATTTTGTTTTCAGTTAAGGAATGAAGGAGTTTGCCCTAAATAATTGGGATTTTAGTTTGCAATTGGGTGGTTGTATTTTTTTTTCCTTTTGGGAGTACCTGGTTACTACTGTTTTTGAAACCTCAAGATGCAAACAGCTGTGTACTCAGCCCACCTGTAAGCTGAAATTATTGGAAAACATTGACCTTGGTTACTGTGTTCACAACCCATGCTACACACCACACATACAAACAATGCATTCATTCATTCAGCAAATATTTATTGAGTGCCTGCTTTGGACTAAACACAGTCTTAGATGCTGGGGATACAAAGACTAACAAAGCCCAGTTCTTAACCTCAAGGAGCTTGAAATCTAGCAAGGAAGAAAAATGCAGACTTTTCCACAGCATTTATCACACTTGGTTATAATTTCCTGTTTTCTCCTCTGTATTTCTCAGTAGACTATGGAGTCCCTTCAGGTTTGCATCTCATCCACCCTGTTTGCTATTGTTTCCCTAGCATCAAGTCTTCTGCCTGGATAGTCAATCAACTTGAGGGCACAACTAAAATTGTGTAAATATAATAAAACTATATAAATAATTAAAATGGTACTATAAGGGTTGGGTTCCAGGCTTGCTATGTAAAGACAATGCTTCAGGAGTGCAGTGGTAGAAGAGACCCTGGCAAAAGGAGCATCGTGAGGACTTCAAGAAAAATGAGGAGTGAGGAGAGGACCAGGTTAGATTTGGCAATTAGGAAGTGTTATAGTGACTTTTCAAAGAGAAGGACTAAATTTGGGAAAGGGTTATGATCCAGGTTGTTATAGGTTGGGAATGAATGAGAATTGGATAAAATTGATTGATTTGAGTTGGAAAATGAGATAATCCATGGGGTGGGGCAGAGTCTTTCATACTTATATAGAAGTGAGGAGATCTCCCATGTTCTCTATCTGCTGTGGCAACTTTGTGTAAAGGAATGTGTTCTCCACATGCATAATGGAGATGTCTTTACCTCTGAATCAGTTTCCTGATTTATCATAATTATTATAATAAATTTTCTATTTATCATAAAAAGCAATTGGGTAACTACACAGGTCAGAGCCAGGCTTAAGAGAAAGTTAGGTATAAAAGTTTCCTGATGTACCACATCCTGGTCATTTAAAAGTCACTCCTTTAAATAGTCACTGACTATCCTATCAGTTCTTTTCCTCAAAAGTAGCAACTCAAGGACCAACTTTCTCATTCCTTGACCTGTTCCAAAATATCTTATTCTTTCATGGATGTTAAATGATTGACCATCTAATCTGTTAAAATCATACAAACAGAGCATAGAATACCTGAACTGGTTCTGGCTTCTCTTACCCTCCAATAAGTTTGCATGGCATTCCAAAACAGAGTGCTGCCCACTGCTCAGTTTAAAACTGGATACCCCTGAAGGTCCTTTTGCCCTATGTAAGTGAAACATGTAATTTAAGATAGTCTGATTTAAAAAAACCTTTAAGATAGAAAGTGAGATTTTTTTTTCCTTCTTCCATTTAAACTCACAGTTACCTTCCCCTTAGCCAGGAAATTGACATTATAAATATCACTGCCACATATTATAAGCCTAGAAATTTTATCATCTCAGGCCAAAAGTGAATGTTGAGATTTTGATATCTTACCTCTCTACCACATCTAAGTCTTTTTCTCAAGACTTCTGGAATGAAATATATTCTGGTTGAAAGTGGCTCTTAACAGGAGCTGCAGATATTTTTCCCAAGAGGGGAAAAGTGTGAAGCCAGAGCTAGGACTAATAAATCGGGACATGGCAGACAGACTGCACCCTATCTGCTAGGCAATGCATCCTTTCTGGAGTGGCCCATGAATGTGGTGTTGGAGGCTTGGGGGATCATCTGTAAGTGAGAATAACTCTGAGAGAAAGTAAAATAGGGATAAAGATTATGAATGATGCTGGTATTCTGAAGAAGTTTAGAAGAATTCTAAAATGGGCATTCATTTCATTTTAAAGGTTTCTTTCTTACCAGTTAAAATATGTATATTTAAGTAAGTCTAAAACATAATGTATTTCTAAGACAAATGGCAATCAGAAAGTCACAGGTAAGCTGGTTTTATCCTTTATAAGATAATACAAAGAAGTCATTTTTTAGATTTCACATTTAATATGGAACATTGTGATGTAGGTCTTATTTCTGTGAAACATCATATGTTAATTGACAACGTGGGCAAGGCCAGCCACCTCCCAAGTTGGGTTAAATTTTCAGATGAAAGTGTCATCAGTCCTTAGCTGAGTCAAGGATTTTGGTTACTGGGGTTGAAATATAACACTTAGATTTCAATGATTCATTGAGTTGGTATCTGACCTAGCCTTGCAAGGTTAGAAATGATTGGTTTTCCTTATGTTTTACAATGTATTAGTTTTCTAGATAGGGCATAATATATTAACGATGAGCTCATTTTAAAATTATTTCTATCAGTTCAGTTAATTCTTATGATAAATTTTAATATTTTGAGAGGACACAAAGTATAGTATGTTTGAATATAACTTTTATATGTCACTGATATTTTTTAAAGTTTTATGAGAAAAATGGCTTTGTGATACCATAATGTTTTAGATTTAGGGAATACAAGCAAAAATACTGATGTATATGCAGTTAAATCACATTTTAAGTATAACTGAATTATTTTCTGCAACTCAGCTATGGGAATTGCTTAAACCTGATTTATGTATAATTTGAGTAAATTTAAAAATAAATTTTGTGAAATAGAGTTCCTTAAAATGGTGACATCAGGATAAAATATTTATGGGACAAATAGGTTTTACATATCAAAATTAGCAATTTTCTTTTTTTTAAGATTTTATTTATTGAGAGAGAGAGGAAGCATGAGCAGGGGGAGGGGGAGAGGGAGAAACAGGTTCCCCACTGAGCAGGGAGCCCGACGTGGTGCTTGATCCTAGAACCCCAGGATCATGATCTGAGCCAAAGGCAGATGCTTAACCGACTGGTCCACCCAGGCACCCCAAAATTAGTAATATTCTAACAACTCACTGAGGGTTAGGATTTAGCCTACAGTATAATGCACAATGGCTGTTTGCCATAGGGTGTATGGGTATAAATAAGCTCTTTTTGGCACACTGTATACACAGAATCAACTTCTATCTTTATGGTCATACCCTGTGCTATAACTCATTTTCTGATTTTTAAATATTCAGGAGATGAACACTCCAAATATGGACTAGTCTGTAGATGCTCCTTCCTTTTCACAGAGCTCTAAGTCAACTTGAATCAACAGAACTACTCAAAGCCAATGTCCTTCCACCTCTTGAGTTACTCCCATATGCAAGAATCCCTCACAAGCCATAATCCTTTCTTTATCTGAATTCTTCATCCCTCATGGCACAGTATTGTTCACCTCAGCCAATTCTTTCTCATGCATACTGCTTTTCCCTCAGTTTTTACCCAGTTATTGCATGAATATTGTTCTCTTCTTTCTTCTATGAGTGTGTCTTTTTAGTTGAGAAGCAAAAGCATTGCCATAATCACACTGAGAAGTATGTGCAAGATAATAGAAAATATATTTGGTCTCTGCCCCCAGTTTCTGGTACAGAGCTTTCCCTAAAACCTTTATAATTTCCTAAGTGATAAGAACACTAGGAACATCTTTTGTTCTGATATTTGAAACCCTTGTAATTTCCTGAGTGATAGGAATATCTTTTTGTCCAATTGAGGCAACTCTGGGTGGGCTTCTGGGTGGTTCTTGCATAAGGGCTGGCCACCAAGCCATGATTAGGAGCTTGGACTTTTCAGCCCTATCCTTGATTCTCTTGAAAAGGAGAGGGGCTGAAAATAGAGTAAATGATCAGTCATGCCAACTTGATGAAACTTTCATAAAATCCCAAAAGAACAGGTTCAGAGAGCTTCTAGGTTCATGAACATTGGAGGTGCTGGGAGAGTGGTGCACCCAGAGAGGTCATGGAAGCTCCAAGCCCTTCCCACATACCTTGCCCTATGCATCTCTTCTATTTGGATGTTCATCTGTATTCTTTATTATATCCTTTTACTAATAAACCGGGGAATAATAAGTAAACTGTTTTCCTGTGTTCTATAGCCACCCTAGCAAATTAATCGAACCCAAGGAGGGGGTTGTTGGAACCTCCGCTATAGAGCGGGTTGGTCAGAAACACAGGTGAAAGGCTGGGCTTGGGAGGTGTCTGAAGTGTGTGTGTGGGGGTGGGGTGGGGAGACAGTCTTGTGGGATTGAGCCCTTAACCTGTGGGATCTGATGCTATCTCTGGGTACGCAGTGTCAAAATTGACTTATGCTGAAGAACACCCAGCTCGTGTCACAGAGGATTGCTTGGCTTGGGGAAAAAACCTCCATACATTTGGTGACCAGAAGGGTCAGAAGTGAAGTGTTCTGTGTGACCAGTCAAGTGACTTTCCTCCTTAGGAAGGAAAAAATCTGAGTTTTTCTAATAAAGTATAAAAATGCTGGTAATAGTGGTATTAAATAAAATCTAAAAGTTACATATGTTAAAGTGGAACTGAGAAAATAAAAAGCCAAGGCCATCTCCTTCACTGAAAAGTCTCCTTTAAAATCTTCCCTGAAGTTATAATCAATCACTATGCCTTTATCTAACTAAATGAAGGAAAAAATCAGCACTTAAAAATAAACAAAAATTAGGGCGCCTGGGTGGCTCAGATGGTTAAGCATCTGCCTTCGGCTCAGGTCATGATCCCAGGGTCCTGGGATCGAGTCCCGCATCGGGCTCCCTGCTCCTTGGGAGCCTGCTTCTCCCTCTGCCTCTCTCTCTCTCTCTGTCTCTCATGAATAAATAAATAAAATCTTTAAAAATAAATAAATAAATAAACAAAAATTATATCTTAGTTCTCTTTACTTTTTCTATTTTTCAATTCCTAGTTTACCATTTACTGTATTTCTTTTATTTTTTATTTCAGATGTTCTGCATTTCAACCTCATCAAAAATTAAATTGATATTTATGGGCTAATCTGGAAACCTAAATACAGTTTGTTTCACTACAACTATAAGAAAATATGTTCAAATTCCCATTGGCTGACTTATAAAGGGGCTTCTGGAACACAACTTTATGTAAGTTGCAGACATACTGTGTTTTAATCTTTGTTAATTCACCTCCTCCCTGGGTTAGGGCATAGGTCTATTGGCAGGTGTGCATGTATTATATATACCTTTGTGTGTATACCCTTTTTCACAATTCTGGGTTCATAACATTTATTCTTTCCTTCAATAGGTATTTAAATGCCTATTATGTAAAAAGTACAATTCTAGGCCTAAGGGACATCCAGAAATGAGGTTATTGCCCTCATAGAGCTCATACTGTATCAGAGAAACACATTAACCAAATTGCACAAATACATATGACATGCATACGGTGAGGGATGCTCTGAAGGGAGGTCATATAGCACTATGGGAGCATGTAACTAGGGATCCGCCTTGGCTCCAAGTCAGACAGGTTGCCTGGAGAGGGTAGTACTCCAGGTAAGATCTAAAGGGTGGGCAGCAGTTAGAAAGGGCAAAAGAATCTGGAGGTGGAGGGAGGGTGGGGCGAGGATAAAGGAGGAAGTACTCCAGACAGAGGAAACATGTTCAAAGACCATATTTGCTCAGGTAGTTTTGATAAGTTTTTCAAAGAGTGTCCACTGAGTAGCTAGAAGACTTTTAGCTTATCCTAAATCATGAAAATAGTTTGTAATCATACTAGAAAATCAGAAAGCATATATTTCGCAAGCACCTGTACTTTTTTTTTTTTTTTTTAGGTATGAAGTACTCATTAAGCCCTAACAATTACCCTGAAGATGGTATTATGAATATGGCAACTTTTCTACGGGGCTTTGAAGAAAAGGGGATAAAGAATGACAGGCCTGAGGACCAGTTGAGTAAAGAGAAAAAGAAAATTCTTTTCTCCTTCTGTGAGGTGTGCAACATCCAGCTAAACTCTGCAGCCCAGGCCCAAGTCCATTACAATGGCAAATCCCATCGCAAACGAGTCAAGCAGCTGAGTGATGGGCAGCCCCCGCCGCCAGCTCAGGGCTCAGGGCAGCTCCTGGCCAGCCCCAGCACCAACACCAGCACAGGTAGGTGCGAGCGCCCAGGGCTCCATGAGCTGCTGGGAGAAATGCCGCTGTTCTAGAAAAGGAAGGCTTTGGAACAAGGTATCTTTCACTGTAGAGCTACCAGCACACTAATATGTATTCTTTTCCCTACAGTTAATTCCAAGAGCTGTTGGTTAATTCTGGGTGTTTGTGTGCCTGTATAAGAAATTCATATATATTATATTAGAATCAAACATTATACACACACACACACACACACACACAATGTTGTGTACTGGATCGTAGACTTGGTCCTGTCTCCCCATAGGGTGTGAACACATCCTAATGTATTTTGAAATGTATTTAAAATAGATCAGTGATGTCACTTTTTTGTTCCCCCTCTCTGCAAAATTAGGTTTTCTTGGGTTTTCTTCATCTGCTTTCTATAGGGTAGTGTACTACTTGATAGTATATAAAAAGCGACAACTTTATTTGTAACATCCCGTGATGCAGGAAGGGAGCATTAATCCTGAGCGGTAGACATGTTATATTCTTTTAGGGAGTTGGCAGCAGTGTGTCAGTGGTGTTCTAACAATAGGAGCAGGCATTGCCAGAACCAACAAGGCTTACCTCTGAGCTCTGGCCCCGGTGCAAGCAAGCACCTTCTTGCCTCCTCTCTCATCTCTCACCCTGTCCTGTGGGTGGGTAGAAGCAGAAGCTTAGAAATTGTCACACTTCCTGCATCTGCCCTGGATCTGAGAAATAGTCTTTCAAATTCTTTATCTTATCCTTGGGCAGCCCTTCCTTCTCCCCATTGCTGGTCATTGGGTATCTCCACTAGGACACAACTAAAGAAGATGTGAAATTTACTGTAATCCGGGGTGAAAATTTCTACAAATAGGGGGTGTCCTACCCAGTTGTACGTGGGAGATCAAGAGAAGCCTCCTTCTGAATGTGGTGGAAGAGCTCCAAATTCCACTCTAACAGACCCTGGGAGCGAGGCTTCACCGTGGAACGTGATGCCGCAGAGAAGCCATTTGTTGAAATTTTACTTGGGGCTGGTACATGGTTTTTGATTTTGTGAAGTTATGCCATGACCCATATGAAGCTCTAGTGAAAATTGTGTGTGTGCTGTGAAGAAATAATTCTTGGATTTCAAGCTAAACCTAACTGCTTTTTACTCGATGTGTGATTTAATTTCATTAAACTATTTTCCCCAGTCAGTAGTTATTTAGCATGCTGTGGAAGAACTTAAAGGAACTTCGAGGTTATAAGATACACATTTATTATAAGAGTGAAAAATTACTTCCCCATTTTGTCTTTATTTATTATGATGATAATGTAAATATTCACAGATGCATTAATGTATCTGTATATACATAGTAAGATAGAGTTGGTGTCAGGTTAAAAACTCATTTATTGTTTTATATCTGAATCAGAGAGCAAATAGTCTTGAGTAAAGGTGTGAATTATATCTGTCAGAGCCTAAATATGTATGTCTAGATGGAGGTTAACCTGTAACTTCTACTTAGTGAGATGAGTGACTAACATTAACTGATCATATTTTATGGGCCATTTTCTGGTCCTTTCTGGGAATTTTCTCCTTTAATCCTTTCATCAACCCTGAGGTAGGAACTACAATTATCCCTAATTTGCAGACTAGGAATGGAGCACAGAGAGATAAAATAATTTGTCTAGGTTATATTGCATGGAAATGGCAGATCTAGAATTCCAACCATATTTAATTAGTTAATAGTGAAGCCATTATTCTTTGTCACTACTTTGCTGCTATTTTCTGCCATGCAGTAACACTCAGGTTAAATTCAGACCTGTGTGCTATAATATATTTGTGGTCACAAATTGTTGCTATCATGGTGAACTATCTCACTTTGATGGGTTTTGAAAATAGACATGTAAAGCTCCAACTCATGAGTTTCTCCATGCTAATGAAATTAGATGACATAAATTTAGCTAAGACATACACAGAATATTATGGATATATTCTACAAGTAAAATATAGCTCATCATCTAGTATAAGGCAATATTAATATATAGGAAAAATGGGTACAAAATGAGTCAGCTTTTCAAGTTGTACATTAGGTATAAAGGACAACTTTCATACACTGATAATATAGTCAATTATCCATTGTCAAAAGATGGGTTTAGCAAATGATGAAAGCAAGTCACTTAATCTTTGAAAGTGGTTAACATTAATTCTCCCATTTGAAAAAAAAAGTGGGTATAACAGTGTCTTTTTCTCTTAGACATAGATGTATGTACAAAGATGATCATGACATGATTTATAATTCCAAAATATTAAGTGTATCCCGAATGTCCAATAGGAGAAAGGTTGAATACCTTAAAGTACATTTATAAGATGAACGATAGAAACTAGAGTCATTAAAAATTGAATTTCTGAAGAATACCTAATGACAGGGGAATCTGTCCATGATATCATGCTAATTGAAACAGCAAGAAGTAAGGTGGAATATACCATAGTGCTATGTGTACATGTGCACTTATCTACTGCTTAGTCTCAACTCACCGAGAAGCAAGACTGACATGGTTTTATTTTTTCCAGTCACTTTCTTCAGTTTTGATCTATCAAACATCTGTTTCCTGCCACATAGCAGTTCCCTTAACACTTTCTCAGCCCATAACTTCTCACTTTTGTATATTCAGAGGGACTTTGATTTAAATGACTCAGCTCTATTTATAAAAACATCCATGTCAGAGCCAAATTAAGATTTGGCTAGATAGACCCTGGAGTTGAGAGTAGAGGATGGGATGCAGTTAGCTCTCAGCTTCCCCTGCTTCAGCTTGCCCTTCTGCCTATGGAGGGATGGAGGGGTGGAAGTGGCCTTATCTTACAGCCTAGGCAAGATTGCAATGCTGTTCTTGATAGGAGATTGCTATTCTGGTGGTCTCTGGGTCACAAGTGCTCCTGGCAGAGCCTGTGGATGAAGAACTCCACCAAAATGTCCCTCAGGCATTGGGAGTCCCTGAGATTTAGTTGTATCTCAATTTACCCCCACTTTGTAGCAAAACACCCTTCCTCAATTGTGTATGCCTCTTTCTCCCACATTGTGGCAGTCCTGGGCAAGATTGTGTCTATTCTTATCTATGTATTTATCAACTCTTAGGGCTTGAGGGAATGCACAGAATACATCTAACAACTAACATTCTGGAGCTGTTGGGGCATGGGCAGGTAGAAGTGGAGTGGGGTGTGAGGGTCTCCTCCACATTTCTCTTCCTGCTCAGGTAGCACAGGGGAGACTGGGAAGTCCACTGACAAAGTAGGTACTTAATCAAGGAAAAAAATGCCAATCTTCCCTTTTTGCCCATTGCTTGGCTTTATGGAGTGTTATGGGCTGAATTGTGCCCCCCCCCCCACCCCCCCACAGAAAGGGATATGTTGGAGTCTTAATCCTCAGTACTTCAGAATGTAACCCTATTTGTAGATAGAGCCTTTGCAAAGTAAATTAAGTTAAAATGAAGTCATTAGAGTTAGGTTGACCCTAAATCAATATGACTGATAGCCTTATAAAAAGGGGAAATTTAGACATACAGACACACAAAAAGAAAAGTTGAGGTAGACACACAGGAAGAGGACAGCCATTTACAAACCAAGGAGAGAGATTTGGAAGCAGTCCTTCTCTCAGAGTCCCCAGAGGGAACCAACCATGCCATACTTTGATCTTGGACTGCCAGCCTCCAAAACTGTGACTGATATATCTTTTTTTTTTTTTAAAGATTTTATTTATTTATTTGAGAGAGAGAGAATGAGAGACAGAGAGCACGAGAGGGAGGAGGGTCAGAGGGAGAAGCAGACTCCCTGCCGAGCAGGGAGCCCGATGCGGGACTCAATCCCGGGACTCCAGGATCATGACCTGAGCCGAAGGCAGTCGCTTAACCAACTGAGCCACCCAGGTGCCCCGTGACTGATATATCTTTACCCAGTTTGTGGTGCTTTTGTTTCAGCAGCCCTAGCAGACTTATACACAGAGAAAAATGGTATCCCATCTTCCCCACAAAGGAGAAAAGTTGTGGTAGTAGAGATAAACTTCCCAAGAACTGTCAGTTTCAGAGGTAACTTTCCTTCTTCTCTGTCAGCCTTATTATAGAGTAGGGGTTGGTAAGGGTGAGAATGGGGTCCACAGCATGGTGGTTGAGACTTAAGCCATTTCTCTGAATAAGAAGTGACTGACCTCTAACAACTGGCAGTTCTTTAAACTAAGCTTAGAATTCAAAACCTTTAAATCTCAGCTTCTGGAAGAACAGGAGGACTCTTGTTCTATGCATGCCTGCAACTGACTAGATGAGGCCCACCCACATCAGGGAGAGCAATCTGCTTTACTCAGTCTATAGATTTAAATTTAAAATTCATCCAAAACAAACTCACAGAAACACCCAGACAGAATTCAGAATAACCAAATATCTGGGCACCCCATGGCCCAGTCAAGGTTTGACACATAAATTTAATCCTTACACTGTCATTTTCCCCTTAAGTTTTATAAATCATATTTGATGATTGAAACAAAAATTATAACCATCTGATACTCAAGACAATGATATTTAAAAGTGGGGAACTTCAAGGGACCCAAATGGTAGTAAGGTATCAGTACTTCATTTGAAGTATTTAAATGGTGGTGCCAGGAGATTGTGATAAGTATGTATATTGTAATACCCATAGCAACTACTCTGAAAACTTTACAAAGAGAAACAATCAAAAATAATATAAATAAATCAAGATGGAATACTACTAAAATTTTCAAGTAACTTACAGAATAAGAAAAGATAAACATAGAAATGAGAACGAGAGGAAACAAATAGAAAACAAATAATAAAACGGCAGACTTAAGTAATAACATATTGATTACCTTACATGTAAATGGTCCAAATACAACAATCAAAAGACAGAGATTTTCAGAGCAGATTCAAAAAATGACCCAGTTATATATTGCCAACAAGAAACTCACTGCACAGTCAATGATATATATAGGTTGAAAGTAAAAGGATGGAAAAGAATATGCCTTGCAAAC